GCCGAGTATTGTATGCGCTTATCGCCAGCAGTGATAGCTACTCTACAGAGCCCTCGTTAGCTTCCTAGCCTAGCCTAGCCTAGCCTAGCCTAGCCTAGCCTAGCCTAGCCTAGCCTAGCCTAGCCTAGCCTAGCCTGGCCTGGCCTGGCCTGGCCTGGCCTGTTTTCTCGGTTTCTGATCTTTGCCTGTTTTCCTGGATTTATCCCTTTAGTCTTGCCCTTTTGATTCTGTTCGCCGTTCATTGACCTTCGCTAGCCCTAGGATTATTCTTGTGTCTTGCCCGCCTTATACCTGTTTGCCATTGTTCGACCCTGCCTGTGTTTCTGACCTCTCTACTTTAATAAAGCTTGCACATGGATCCGCATGTCTCGCGTCTCGTCAGCCCCGTAACAGTTATATAGGGTTTGATTAGTTGACTACACTGTAAAAAAATCAAAATTTGAGAAAACTTAAAAGTTTAAGGCAACCAGCTTCAGGAGATTTTTGAGTTTTCTCAACTTGTTTTTGTAAACTGAAACAACAAGTTGAGAAAACTCAAAAATGGTTGCTTTTAACTTTTAAGTTTTCTCAACTTTTGATTTTTTTTTTACAGTGTAGTTGTTTAGACAACCACCTAACAATATTCCATACTTACTATTACCATAACTATTACCATCTGAACTTATAATGAAGAAAGGAAGAACAGCAACTGATAGAGAACTGCAGAACAGATGTGAACTCTAAAGAGCAACATCTTCCAATTTATGCTGCTTTTTAAAATGATTTTGTTGGTTTTGTCAGTGGATATAGATCAGAATGCACCTGTGTCACATTAAAGCATCCACTCATCACTTATCCATGGGTGAACACACACAACACATGCTCAAGAGTGTACCACTCTGCTTTCAGCCTGTATTGAACACTTCAGCATCTCTCTCTCAGACAGCGTAACACTTCCTGAATGTTTCTGGTAGGTGACTAAATGCTGCTGAATGCACATACACGCACACACACAAGCATATACAGTATATATAAACACACACACATAAAAATTCCGCCAAAACCTTTCCATCCCCCAACCACTGCATTCATGCCATGCTTCATTCCAATGATTCCCAGTATGTGGCAGGAGTAAAAATATCCCATGTTCTCTCACGGAAGTATCAGTCACTTCTTGCAAGATGTCAAACTGGCTAACAACAGTGATTTAACAGTAACCAGATAACCTGATTAACGCATACTATATTTAAGAGATCTAAATAAATCCTGAAGAGGGGAATTGTCTTTCCGACAATTTTCAGATCGCTACACACTTAATAATAAAGGTTCCTTATTGGCATTGATGGCTTCATGAAGAGCCCTTAACATTCATGGATCATTTCCATTCTTTATAGTGGGAAAAGGTTCTTCAGATTATCCAAATACTCTTCAATCTAAGAAAAAACACGGTTCTTTTACTGAAAGGTTCTTTGAGGAACCCAAAATGGGTTCACTATGAAAAGTGTGTATATTCACTGGAAGAAAATTTCCAGCTCCCAGTTGTTTATGAGATAATCTGTGTTGAAATGAGAAGAACACTCATTGGATGTTCCCAGAGCTCATTACCCATCTGTACAATGCACTCAGGCCTATAACAGCCAGTGTGTATCTGGGCGCTCTTTGTATGCTTCACTGATCATAAGTAGGCATAAAATCTCACTTTTTTTTTTAAACACTGTCCCCCTTCTTTTTCTTCAGTTGCTGTCTCCCTATGGAGTTTCCATGGCTACTTGGTCACGTGATATCACAAAGCCCCTCCCCCTGCCCTGAGGTGACTGTCACAGCGGTTAGTCAGACTCGGCCACCCGACCAGGATGCGATACGACTGTATATTTGAGCGTGTGTGTTTTGAGTATGTTTATATGCATGTAGGTTGGGGCTTATGTATTGATGGTAGCTCTGGCTTTTGTCATAATCGAATCACAAATCATTGGGTTATTGAAAGATTTTACCAGCAGATTTGAAAGTTTTACAGTTGTACTTGTTTGTTATAATTTACTGGACGTTAAGTAACAAGACTCGGTTTAGCTCTTCAGTTTCTGTTTTGTCTTATCCATGTGATAAAAAGGTGGGTCATGAAACAGCCACCTCATGCGATTGCAGACTCGAGATCGAAAAACGGAGAGACAGCCAAGCTTTCAGAGAAGAATTTCTGCACATCTGCGCACAGGCAGCCAAAGCACATCTTCCCACAGTCAATCTTTCTAGTGAACTGACAAACATCTCCATGTAGTCAACCAACCATTCTTCTGTGAATTTGTAAAACACCCTTCCTCCTGTCAGTCAACTTTACTTTAGTGAATCACACTGGCCTACTGTATAAATTGTCTGTATAAGCTCTCTGAGGTATTTTGCTCAAGGTTTCATATTCAGGTAAACAAATAATAATGTGCATTATTGAAGACTTGGCATATTTGTATTGTGTTTTTCTTATATAATAATATTATATTATATTATATTATATTATCCAAAATGATTTAATTATGATGATGCATAATTTTGCATATTTTAATATGTGTCACTGGTCTCACTGAGTCATCTCATTTCAACAGCTCAATAATTGGCTAATTATCACAAATAATGACTTTTGAGAGAATGAGAGAGAGGGCAAATATCAAGAGGACGGCTGTACAGGATTGCTGTGTTAAAAAAAAGAAGAAAAAAAGCTGGCAGAGAGGAAACTACAGAGGCAGAGACAAAACCAAAGACCTGCAGAAAGGGAGAGAGAGATACACAGACAGAAACACAGAGAGAAAAGCCACTGTGTGACCAAAAGTGATTAAGACTGCATGTTTCCCCGGTGATAAGCTTCTCTCTTTTTTTTTCCAGAAGACACTTCAAATGGAGTGCAGGGAGATTAATTTCCTCAGGAGAAGATGCATCGCATCCTCCAATCCCCCAGCATTCAATTGCAATAATTATCCAAAATGGCGTTGCCACTTATGTCTGCCTCACATTTGCATAGCTCAGAGCCGTTTATGGTTGGCATTGTAAATGTTTTAATTTTCACCTCTCCATACATTTGATGACGAAAAAGGGGTCTAGGAGAGCAATTGACTTTTTGACTTTGTGCAGTTGCGTTGCTGAGAACATTGGGGACAGCATTTGAGAGGCTTAGTAATTCTATTCTATTCTACTCTATTCTATATCATCTGAGAAACAGACAGCAATTTTATCAGTGAGTCTGGCTGTACAAAGTGAGAACACAATCAATTTGCCATTTCAAATAGGTTTCTAAATCCAGGCCAGACTTTTTTTTTCTTAGCACAGTAAATTAACTTTAAGAGCTGCAAGCACTCAGCATGTCTTGCCATGTGCTAACGATAGCATCCCATTTGAAAATACTATTTCCTGAAAGTTTTAGTTTCTGGGAATCCTGCTGTTGTGCAAAGTGTCTGATAATAGGGCACTAAAGCCACATAGCAGCACTAACAGTGCAGAAAGCCTTACAGATGGACACAAATACACAGAAGCTGGACATGTCCTCAGAGATCAGATACTTGAGTCTCATCAAGAAGATTATGTCAGAGCACCAGAGTGTGACACCATGGCGAGTCGAACACACACTTCCCTGACCCACACTCATCAGATGGCCGTGGGAAAACACATTTTAGCTGTTTTCACACTGGAGGCTATAATAAGTTGCAGGACGGTCATTTTTGGTTAGCACGGTTATGGGGTTGCATTTAAAAATAAAAGCTTAAAACATCCTATATTGACATTTGGTCACCAATGAAGATTTCAGTTTAAAAGAAATCTTGAATTTTGAATCTTGAATCTTGAAATTTGGAAATCATGTTCAAAATGATTTAACTAATGTTTATTGGCTACATAAAGTATAAAACAAGAGACACGTTGTATTAACTAACATATCCCTGTACACTTCATTAATACTGCACCAATATCGGATGAACCATACCTACACAAGGAATAAATATTAAAGCAGATGTTTTAACACATCTGATTGTGTAAAATAATAATAATAATAAATAAATAAATACATTAAATAATCAGTTCTCTTATACATGGACAGACCTAATTTGCAGAAAGCAAAAAAAGGTTATCTGCAATGATTTGACTTAAATGCTAAATCCTGTCTATCACTGATTATGTATTTACAGTTTACATTCAATTCAGACATCAAGTTTGGAGGTCATCTTAAAACTTACTCCATTTACGTTTACCAATTGCTTCTTTATAGCAGTAGAATGTGAGTAACAGCAAAACGCATGAAATGAATTGACTGCTGGTGCATCATATAAACCCGAGCACCTCGGTTCATGTACTGTATATAGGATTGATCATGACATCAATAGAATGTCACTTACACGGAGTATTTTACATGTTTGAAATAAATGAAACTGTTAGAAAACACTCTCTGTCTTGTTAAGGTTCCAGATGTTTTCACAAGAGAATCCATAGGGACCGATTGTTAATGATTTCTAACAGAAACGGTTATGAAAACTCAGATATGCAAGATATCCGTTCAACACGGTCAATTCAGATTCTGCTGATAATAAAAATGCGCAAATGGAATAAGACTCCTATTATAAATATGGCTGTGCCACATAAGGCTACTTACTAAAAACTGACTGCGGCACATGATTGAAATAATAAAAGATAGTAAAAATCACTCGCTCCCTCACACATGCCTGGACCAAGTTTACTGAGCCATTTGAGAAAAGTAAAGGAAAGAGAAGAGAGAAGGAGAGAATAGAGAAAAAACGCGTGTTTTACACACACTTACCCATTCCAGAACGCGGATAAATCCCAAAGGTAATTTAAGCACTTGGAATGTCCCAAGTGACACAATCTGTATAATAACAAATGAACATGATCCCTATCGTCATTTAATGTAGTTTGATTAGGCACAGTTCAGTACATTTTAAACATGTCTCGTCATTTTCATTAGATATTGTCAAATGCACAAACGCTATTTTCTACCTGATTAGTGGTTTCCATTTTCTTGTTTGAGAGAAATGTGCTTGTAAGTATGATGGGTCAAGACCAAAACAACGCTAAATGAGTGACGTGCCAGAGTCGCGAGCGCAGAGAGGGGAATCGGCTGTAATCGCGGCTCCATACGGAAAGAGCCGAGTAACTTCGGGATTAATCGTTTCTCGATACGAAGATAGCCGGGAGACTTCGGATTTAATCAATCCTCTACTTCGGAAAAGCCGAGTGCCCAGGGAAAGAGCCGAGTGTCTTCGACAAAAACCGTTTCTCTGTACGGAAAGAGCCGATTGTGTTCGGCTTTAAAGACGCTCTGGAGCTCCATGGAGACAGACAGGGATTGGGTTTGATAAAATGAACCGTGGCCATAATATTTTTCTCTATTGGACGATATCTAATTACAATTTATTTGCACTATAAAATATAGTTTTGTCAGTCCAAAATATGTTGGCTGACTGTGTATCAAATATTGCTTGAACATTCTGTTCACTCGTTCAATTTTAAGTGGGAATAAGGCTCTGAAACGCAGCAGCGTGCACAAACTATTTTGGTATTGACAAGATAAAACCATTTAAATCCAAGATAAAAAAAAAAACATTTTAATTAAATGTGTAGCATATAGCTATTTATTAGGCTACATTGTGTTTTATGCAGTTTACCATTCAGTATTTTGTAGGGGTAGTTCTATGTCCAGTGACATTTCCTTGAAACTCACTCAAGTTTGTGGAAACACAGTACAGATTCCAGCTCAGCTACATAATCATGATCGATCTCCTTTGACATTACATAATCATGATCTCCTTTTAATTCGACCAAGAAGGTGGGCAAAGAATCAAGATAATAACATGAAAATATGCATGAAGATGTTATGCATATATATGCATATATTTTGGTTTGCTTGTGTTTACAAAACCATTCAGTGAAAATATTAAGGAAAAAGATAACTAAAAAAATTAAGCTTGATATTGGTAGAAAGAGAAGTACAACTCAAGAAAACAAAAACAAAAAAAGCACAGTGCACTAAATGTGTCACATATAATAATACTAGCCTATATTTGTCACCATTTATAGGCTATATACAGTACACAAAGTCAGACAGCTGGAATCAAGTCACCAATGGCATAGTCTTTTTTTATCTTGCTTGAAACACACACACACACACACCTAATTTCACTTAGATCATATACTGCTTAAAGGGACTCAAGCAGTCACTGAGAATGAGGGGAAAAAGACTTCAGGAAGTGTAAGTGTCAGAATGAAGCCTACAGGGACAAGAGCCCTAAAGAGACTTTTTTTATTAGACACTGTTCATTTAAAGTTCACTCTGTATTAGTATGTACTTGCATTTAGATCTGCATTTGCCTGCCATTCCAAGGTCGAGTCTAGCCCGATGACTGTTCTTTCAGTTATTATGAGAAAGAACCCAAACATGCACACACCTGATGCCATCTCAGCTGTTGCCCTCGTCTTTTCCAGTGCAAACGAAGGACTCTTGAGATCAGCAAATGTGAAATGGCACAGAACTGTGGTAATGTTGTTTGCATGCATAAGTTTTGGTGATACTGAAGTAGGACTAACAATATTCCTTACAGGTGTATCACACAGACAGGTGTCCACACACGTCACACCCTGAGACTGCTGAACACCTGGGTTCAGATCCCTTTAGGGACCAATAGAGGACAATTTGGTGCTTATTTCTGAAAGCATGCATGCCACACTCAGTGTGCCAGTCACTCTGAATATATTTTCTGAAATATACGCAGTGCTATTTTATTGCTATACTGTATTATTATAGTTTTTTGTTAATATTTTGGATTAGATTTTATTTTTGTTTTCATTTCAATTGTTTTAAAATGTTATTAAGCTTTAATTTAATTTGAGTTATTTGTAGTACTTTAAATGAAACTAGACAAAAATAAATAAAAAACATTTTTGTCACTATTTTATGTCACTTAAAGGGTTAGTTCACCCAAAAATGAAAATTCTGTCATTAATTACTCACCCTCATGTCGTTCCAAACCCGTAAGACTTTTGTTCATCTTTGGAATACAAATTAAAATGTTTTTGATTAAATCTGAGAGCTCTCTGACCCTCCATAGACAGCAACACAACAGAAATGTTCCCAGACCCAGAAGCGTAGTAAGGACATTGCTAAAACAGTCCATGTGACATCAGTGGCTCAACTTCAATTTTGCGAAACTACAAGAATACTTTTTGTGCGCAAAGAAAACAAAAATAACAATTTATTCAACAAACTTCTTTTATGTGTGTCCGCTGTGTTTAACAGATGAATATATATAAAATATTGTTTCAACTGATAGTTTTCACGTGACGTCACACACTTATAGGAACGCCCACCTGGAGGGCAAAACGAAGCTTTGCTCCACTGACCGCCAGTTATTTTTACGCAGTTTGCATTAAGTAGTAATGTAGTAAAACGCAGATATTAAAAGGCGAAATTCAGTAAACACCTTATTGATTATGTTTATTTTGTACAGGCAAGCAGATGAAGCCAGAATATAAACGCAATGTGCAAAGTTTCACGTTAAATGGTTTCCCATAGAAAAAACCATTAGAAGGAAAACGCTGAACCATTAAGCAGATTGCATTCATATTCCGGCCTCATCTGCTTGCCTATGTAAACTATGCATCATTAATATAGAGAATATTACTGTTTTAAATATATTAAGGCACTTTAAGTGTTTTACAACGTTTTGTCGTACTGTTTAATGATTGAAATATTGCCGCGGGTGCTTAATATGGATTGCAAATGGCCAAAACTTGCATTTTGTTCACATACCTTTGTTTTATTCTTTTGAGAGGTGATCTAAATATTTGCGGCTGTGAAACAGGTGGATATTTGACTGAAATATTTGCCCTCCAGGTCTTCGAGCCGGTCACGTGACTGAAAGCTATGAATATTACTACTTTTTATTGTACTTTTGATCAAATAAATTACAATAATTTTTTTTCTGCAAAAAATTTTACTGTATAGTGCCTATATAAACTACTCATTGGGCTCAGTAAAATGTATAAATTTTTATACCAGGTCACTCTGAATTTTAATAATGACCTTAAGTGTGGGAACATAAGAATGAGACAGCATGATCTTTACTGAAGAGGGACAATAAATCTTTACTTTACAGAGAATGAAATGCCATGTCAGCAGCGGGTTATCAAACTTTCGTCTTCTTCATCATCTTCTACTCCACATCCAAAAAAAGTGAACGACAATTAGCCTACACCATCTCAAACTCATTTAGAGCATTGCAGCGCGATGATTAGGCTAAGCTTTTTAATAATTTCCATACATAATTTTATAAACACTCTGATGTCTTTTTATCTGATTGTCTGTTTGTGCAGTTTTGTAGATTATGTAACGTACCTTAGTCAGGGTCAGGGCCGTCCTTAGCTGACGCGGGGGCCCGGTGCGAGGTAGGGAGCGGGTCCCCCCTCGGTCCGTTCGTGATCGCGTTCTGGGTTCTCCAATTGAGAATACGTACATTCTTGTATGTGTCTTCAGCTGTGCTTTAGATGAATTTTTATTCCTTTAATGCTTTGGATAAAGTGTCTAAAAAACTTTAAAGGGGTCATATGATGCGATTTCAATTTTTCCTTTCTCTTTGGAGTGTTCAAGAGCACATTAACCCACAATCATTTCAAGCACTTGTAGTGCACTATATAAAAGGTAACTGATGGTATGTAACACCCTTTCACTATGCTGCACTGCCTCAGGTTCAGCAGTAATATTTGAATGTGTGTGGTGGCATGGTGCCACTCGTCAGTCCTAATTTCTCTGCCTGGGAAGAGACTAGATGTGGCATGACTGGCATCTGAAGTAAAGTGCAGCACAATAGCGCAGACATAAACCTCGGGAATGCACACGCATGATGGAGTGACCTGGGGAAAAAATCAACATCATTCTGATTCACACCGCTGCTCGCTCGCCAAGGAATTATGGCAGTGGCCAAAACAGTCACTTAACCAGCACTGAGAGCCTGAGAGGTGCAACGCAGGCATGGCTGGATCTCTTCCTCCAGTTGTGCCAACAGTTGCCACATTGAATAAGCATGCAACTCCCACAGTAAAACCGGTTCAGTCTGCATCCAGACATAGCACACCTAAGGGTTCTGAGCAGCTGAATAAAACAACAAGTGAAGAAAAATCCATGTTGAATAAGGATAATATGGTTTGATTCTTTCCATGCTGGTTAACTGATGGGTCACCATCATGCTAAAATGTGAATGCAAAACATAACCATATGTGACCCTGGACCACAAAACCAGTCTTAAGTCGCTGGGGTATATTTGTAGCAATAGCCAAAAATACATTGTATGGGTCAAAATTATAGATTTTTCTTTTATGCCAAAATAAAAATCAGCTTTCAGGTGATGTATAAATCTCAATTTCGAAAAATTTCCCCTTATGACTGGTTTTGTGGTCCAGGGTCCCATAAAACAACATATGCTTCTAAAATTTTAAAAGGAAGAAGTAAACTGCCATATCTTTTGTTGATGATGTCAGTAGAAATGGCGCTATAGCAACATCAGGGTCATGGGTTCAATTCCCAGGAAAATACAAAAAGCCAAGGCAAAAAATCTGCACACCAAACGAAATGCAAAGTTCAAGGTCCTTAGAACAGGAGTTTATTCCTGAAGCTTTATATGGATGTGACAACAAAAACTAAAGTGCACAAACAAAAAAGTGACTGTGCACACACATACAAAAAAGCAAAAGTTTCAGTCCTGGCTGGACTATCTTCAGTACTAAAGATTCCAACACTGGTTAACAAACATTTAAGGAGATCAAGGCACAAAACAGAGAACAGATGATCAAACTGAATCAGCTGAACAATTAATTGAAAATGCAATAGGTAATTAACAATCACCGCCAAAATGGGTGGGTTTTACCCATTGCATCTTTAATTAATTGCCCAGCTGATTCAGTTTGTCTATCTATCTATCTATCTATCTATCTATCATTTAAATAACAGAATAGTTCACCCAAAATTGCACATTTTGTCATCAGTATAATTTTAGTATCTTTTCATATTCTATAGCCTAGTAATATATTGAATTAGCTATTATTATTTTTTTACTTTTTGCAGTTTTTATTTTAATTTTAGTTTAGGTTTTAGTAATTTTGTAATGTGCTTTTGTCACTTTTATTAGTTTTGTTGTGTGTGTTTATATATATATATATATATATAGCTTTTTTATTTCAGTTTCAGTCATTTTAGTACTTCAACTTATTTTAGTTAGCTGCCAAGACAACATTTCTAATGTTTAATATTTTTATATAGCCTATAGTCTACATCAATGGTCTTAGCTAACAATAACAATGCTACTCAACATGTCGTTCCAAACCTCTATGATTTTCTTCCTTCTGTTGAACACAATAGAAGATACTTTGAAGTTTTTTTTTTTTTTTACTATTACTATGAATGTTAATGGTGTCCAAAACACTGGACCCCACTGACCTTAACTGTATGGGCAAAACAAACAAACAAACAAACAAAACAAAAAAAACATACCCATTTTTCAAAATATCATTTCAGTTGAATAGCTGAATTTTTTGGGAGAACTGAGAAGGAACCATTTTATAGGGCTGAAAATGAACCTTTGGTGCTGTGCTGCAGTGTTGAACCTTTCTGATTGAGCACTTCCTCTTTTGAATTTCAGATTTTTTTGACAACCATCTATATATAAATGGAGATGGTGCAACGTTCAATTTGGTTTCAGCTCCATTTTCACGCCAGGCTGCTAAACCAATCACCATGCCCATACTAAACCACAAATGAAGTGAAATATGCTTAAATATAAAAGACAAAACGTGAGATTCTGGAATTGTGCTGTGTAAATGCGTTATCCCTCCTTTTATTCTGCACCACTAATCTGGCGGAAATAATCAGGATTAAAATTTGCATTCCGGGGGTGAAATGAGTACAAATGAGAAAAAAACCAAATAATGGGCAGACGCACAGACACAATAATGTAGCGGCGCTACGCTTACGATTCTCACTTCTTTGTTAACTGCCGCCGTAAAAATGAATAAATGCCACCGACTGTTGTTCTTGTGCATGTCTACACAATGCGTGCTGTCTGTCATGATGCAGCGCTGCGCGCTTGCCGGTGACATTTGAACAGTCGCAAATGTAAGACAGGTGCGACAGAGCTGGAGTGTTACCTATGGTTACCTCCACCCTCACCCTGTTATCAGTGGTCAACAGACCATTTCACATCTGAATCCATGACAACAAGCTTAGCAAAGAGGTTGCTTAGCAGCAACTAATCCAATGAGCGCCGAGCGGCCTATCAGTAGTGACAACAGTGTTAGCCAATTAACAGATACTCTGAAGATGCTTTCCTACATGCCATTTGCTTTTCGATCTGCGACATGCTGATTTAAAATATGTCTGACACTTTAATGGACGAAACAAGCCTCGTTTTATTATCTGCGCAAGCAACCACCAGCAGTATTGAATTGTGTAAGCATTGCGCGCATTTTCTGGATTCATTGAATGGATGCATGTATACCTGGATTAATTATGAGCTATCATTCGAACTGCAAATTACAAAGCTGCCTGGAATTAAAAATATTACTAGAGTACACTTAATTGGCACAGGAAGAATATAATGAGAAGAACGGACACATGTGGTCTCTTGACGTTCTAGGAAATGAAAGTAGGCTAAGTTTCTGATTTATTGTGATGCGATTGTAACTTTTGACTTACTAATGTAGTATAAACTTGGTCCTGGTTTCAGAGGGAAATTAGAAGTGGACTTTTGAAAATGACCAATAGATGGCTCCCTTTCATTAGACTATCTGTCGTCTATGACAAAACGTCCTCAGATTTCCAAAAGAATTGTTTGGTTTTTATGCAAATTATTTGGATCAGATTGGTTATTGCTATTAAACACAGCAGAATTATAGTTTTTTTCTAAAAGGGTTAAGAAATGTATTAAAAGTGACAGCAAAGACATTTATAATGTTACAAAAGCTTTCAATTTCTGTTCTTTTTAAGTTAAATGTTGAAAAATGTGTATCACAGTTTCCACACAAATATTGAGCAGCACAACTGTTATAATGGTTGATAATAATAAGAAATGTTTCTAGAGCAGCATATCAGAATGATTTCTGAAGGATCATGTGATACTGAGGACTGGAGTAATGATGCTGAAAAGTCACGTTTGACATCACAGGAATAAAATAATTTTAGAATATTACAAAAAAATACTTATTTAAAATTTTAATAATATTTCACAATATTATTGTTTTTACTGTATTTTTAATCTAATGCAGTCTGATGAACATAAGAAACCAAGAGAGCATAAGAGTGAGAAAACTTCTTCCCGAAACCTTTAAACCGCAATTTAAAATTATAGAATGATGATTATTTGAAATGTCTCATACACACATACGCTTATTGACTTCTGCAAATTAAACCCTTGTCTAAATAGAAAGTGTGTGACTATTTTGGTCAGTGGACAAAATTGCATTATACAAATATGCTGCACATGGTCAACGGAACAAACTCACCCAAACTCTACTATGACTCTCATGTCCTAAAAAAGCATTTCAGTCTCAGTGGTATAAAAAAGGTACAAAACTGTCACTGGGGTGGTACCCTTTTAAAATGTAGCAAAATGTACACGAGGTAATAAAATGTACCTTTAATGTACTATTTAGAGGTAAACCAGGAACAAAGATGTACCTTTTAACTTTTGTACCTTTTGTCACCCCAGTGACAGCTTTGTACCTTTTTTCTGGGAGTGAAACATAATGACAGTAGGCATTTTGTGATGTCCACGAGGATGTGTATGAAAAGTACATTTCATGTGAATACAATATAATTGTGCAACAATAAAACGTGTTAAGGCAAACCATCGTCTGTTGAACATAAACTGAACCATTGTCAGGTTTCACTGGAACTTGGAAATACAGACTTTTCTATTTTGTTTTGCTCAAAACGACATGCAGAGGAAATTAACACATAACTCTTCCTCATTCTGAAAGTCGCATTCCATTCCTTTTCTGCTATGACAGTTATGAAGAAAGCAGGCTGTCCAAAAGGGCACAATGTGTTTATGCAATTCAAAACTGGGAAAAAATCCAGACATACTGGCACCGTCAAAACCATCACTGCTTTTGGTGCATATTCTGTTTCCTTTTTTTCCATTTACAAAACATTAACTTTTTTCCTTTCGAAATTACCGAAACACACACTAAAACGAAAGGATGAGACATGTTAAATATTGAGACGAAGAAGTTCGATCTATATTTATTATATCTTTTTTTTTCTGTTTGCTTGTCTATTTGTCATTCAAAATATCACTTCTGTAAAATAAAAAAAATTCAACAAGAATGCAAGAATTTCAAGAAGAAATTTATCATTGAAACTACCATTAAAGAGTATTTACACAACAGAATAGATGCTTTTTAAGTGTAAGGATCATCACTTCATATTAATATATATTCTTATTGATTAAAAAAAGAGGTAGGGTCAAACTGCTTCATTTCAGATGTTCGGAACAACCTGGAAATGAGTCATTTCCATGATCGAACACAAAGATGATGACACAATAATCAACGTACACTGTAATTAAACCCACTGCACATCTCATTCAGCATCAGCATATAGATGACAGAAGCTTGAAAAAAGAAAAAAAAAAAAAAGAAAAAAAAGCAATCACTGAACATCATTCATTCATATGTGAGTCACAGAAGGATAAAAGAGAGAAACTGAGTCCAAACTGTGATGGACAATATTAAGTGTGAAAAATGAGGGGAGGAAAGGACAAAGCAAGAGAGAGTGACCTGAGCACTGAGGTCCGAGTGGTTTTTAAGGCACCATCAGCAGCTGTATGGAGACAGAATACTGCAAAGTGTTTGTATGATGCATTCTGTGCATCTCAGATGGAAGTCTAAAACCAGCTCCACATAAATCACACTATAACTATTATCAGGAAACATTTTGATTCTTTTCTATGCAGCATTTACTTACTGAGAGTGTTTATAACATCAGGATCAATTTGCTGTTCTAAAATCCCCAGAGAAGAATTTTGTCCAACAAAATTGTGCCAACGAAAGTATTATTCTAAAAAGTCAGGAAGCAAATTTACGTGAGCTATGTAACAGCAAGAAGACACAAACCGGGTGGATCATTTTCAAGTGTGTGTCTCTATGTTGAACACAACATGGGAATAGTTTAAAACTGATTATTGTTAAAAAAAAAAATTTTAAAAAAAATGCATCATTGTTATCTTGGCATTATGGGTGTCTAAAAAATATTAAAAGAACACCCAAAATTCTCCAAAAGTGAAATAGTGACTAAATCTAATTTTTGCATTTTCAGAGAGTGTCATTGTACGTCACATCAGAAACCGGGATCATGTGCAGAATTGCTGGTGCAGAAGCCCTGATACGATCATGAGATCACCTCAAATTAAGTTTCCTTCATTTATCAATGTACTGCCAGGCGATGCTTTAACAACATTACAATCAATCGAATGCAAACCCTGCCGTCATATACTCCTGAAATATATTTAGATGTTTCTGAAGCACCAACAAAGGTATTTGGCATCTCAAAGTGTGGTAAAATGAAGGAGGAACTAATAAAAACCGGTGGCAACCAAATCCAAAATTTAAGGGTTGCCTGAAAAGTCTAAAAGTCAGATGTGATATGTATTTGTATATTGTATTGGCAACACTGTGTTCTGCTTTATTGATGAACATCTGAGCGTTGTGGAATAGGTCTGTGGTTGGTCTGTAGGGGGCAGTGTTGAGAACAGTGCGCATACTGTGTTTATTAATGCACGCCGTTCATTATGCATTTCTGGTGGCTCTCCAGGGTACTGTTGTCCTCTTTGTTGTGCTGGGAAGGGCTCACGTCTTCTTCCCAAAGCTGAGCAGCTTTACGGATCTCATCCAGAGTGTACTCCTGCAGGATGGTGCCATTTTCAAACACAGTCACCAACATGTCCTACGAAAGAAGATCATATTAAAGGATCACCAACTATGACCAGCACTGTTTACATTTTTACATAGAATACATACACAGCTGTTCAAAAGGTGGGAGTCAGTACGATTTTTTTTAAAGAAACTAATACTTTTATTCAGCAAGGGTGCATTAAATTGATCAAAAAGTGCCAGTGAAGACATTTGTAATGTTATATATATATATATATAACACATGCTGTTCTTTTGAACTTTATATTCATCAATGAATCCCAAAATAAAATGTTCATGGTGTCTTCAAAATGTATTAAGCAGCACAACTGTTTTCATCACTGATAATAAAAAGAAATGTGTCTTGAGCAGTAAATCAGCATATTAGAATGATTTCTGAAGGATCATGTGACACTGGTATAATGGCTCATGAAAATCCCAGGATTAAATGAAATTAAATGTATTATATAATTATCATTTATTACATAAATATTAATTGTAATAATATTTCACAATATTCCTGTTTACTGTATTTTTTACCAAATATATTCAGCCTAGAATTGCCACAGAATTAAATGTAATTATCTATATGTATCATCCGTTCACTAAAGTTTAATGTGGAAAAAAAAAGTTTAATAAATGCAAAAATGTGGCACAATACAGTATGTTCATATGAACGATCTTTGGGAAAAATCTGGGAAATAATAGGTTAAGCTGATCTAACCTCCTGTGGTTTGCCTGCTCCTCTTTCCACCGTCTCAATGAAGCCATCTGAATTTCTCCTCAGAGAGAGACGACCACGCTTGGATCCTTTAGACGGGTCTGTCACTGGCTGCTTATAGACGTCCATCTATGCAAACACAAATTACATATAAAAAAATAATAATAATAACAATACTCCTCAAATGTACTTTTTTAACTCGTTTAAACAGGATGTTTTTAAAGTGAAACTGATAAAGAAACTCACGCCTTTGCCATTGGTCTCCACATAGCTGCACTTAAAAGCGCAGTTTAGCGTGTCTCTGTTGATTTTCTGCAGCAGTGCGCTTCCGCAACCAAAAAACACATTTTCAGCACTCCAACCCTCATCGCTCAGTTTCTCGAGAATCTGTGCTAGGCAAAAAAAGAAAGTAACACTGATCAGATTATGATCAATGATTTACCACTGTGTAATCGGTAATAATTGTTTATAATCAAACAGTCATGAATGATTGATAAACATTCAGGGCCAGTATCAAGTTGACCCTGTACACACCATTCCACACATTTAATAACGACAGCAATATTAGTATGTGATAACATGCTAGTCATATGAGCACTAGAGTGAGGTCCAAAAGTCTGAAACGACAGTGAAAAAGCTTCTATTTGGCATTTCACTAATATAGTCCATTTATTTTAATTACTCACAACTATTTGATTTGCATTTAATTTGTGCAAGAATTTGCATAACAATGTGTGTGCTAATTGAAAAATTGACATGGATTTCTGAACGTATTATTTGTTTTGATGTTTTGCTTTACTGGCAGCAGTGCTCAAGTTTGCTTTTGTGTAAAAGCTGAATGTTCTCCAGTATGATTTGAAGACGATTTTCCAAAAGAGCACCTTGTGCTTCAATGAAAGTAAGAAGAACATATGACAGTCTGTACTAAGGAATTCTCATGATCATGATCAATGTCACAAATTTCACATATATATATAAACAAACAAACAATATATATAGTCTCTTATGCTCATCCAAGGTTGCATTTACTTGATACAAAATGCCTTAAATATTAATATTGTAACATATTTTTACAATTTGCAATAATTTCATGTTTTTGTTCTCTCTTGGTCTGAGGTTTAGTTTACCTCATTAATTGAGTTCAGATCAATTCCATCCCCCTGGATAATGCGCAGGTATGATGGGAGCACCTTGTAACCAACTGAGTTCTGAGAACATCCGAAACACTCCTCCAAAATCTTTATCACCTAAAAGCGAGACAGAAGAGACAAATGAAGGAGGCAAGCAAGTGAAAATTAAAAGCATAAAGGGCTATAAAGCCAGCTAATCAATCTTAACTCCACTATTTCATTCATCAAATACAAACAAGCAACAAACTAATCTGAAAGACAGTATATAAAAGGAAAATCAATATTCTAGAGCATTACTTTCACACAGACCAGCCAGCCCAGAGCAGCACAGAGCTGGAAAAAAGCCTATTTGTTTGAGTCTTGACTCCACTAAAATAAAGTTCAATCACTGAAACAGCTGCCTTAAGGTCTGTAGTGAACACTACTCCACTTTGAGCACACTTGGTATATGATACACACACACCTCTATGAGGGTCTGAGCGGGGTCCCCGGAGTCTGGACGAATAATGAGTGCAGAATCCTCACTCCTCTCCATCACTCTCTCCTTCAGCTTGTCCCCCCAGATGTGCTTACAAGCCTTAAAAATATCATAACTGTCGCTAACCACAGCTACAGGCCCAGAGGGAAACTGGTCCAGCAGACACTCATACGCATCTTTCTCTCGGCTCTTGCCCCAGGAGATGATAGTACTACAGAGACATGAAAAACAAAGTGTGACAAACCTTCTTCAAATGATCTACAACACTAATTAGTGAAGTCCCACCCACTCATGCTTTATTTAGTTTAAAGGTGGATAAGGTGCATTATAAATAAACCGAATTAGAAAGAATCATTTGTTGCAAATGAGTCATTAGAGTCTAACGATCCTTAGCCGCAGAGCTTTAAAAATGTCGGAGTGATTCATTGAATGGTTGAAAAACTTACATTTGAACTATATGAGGATGGAACAGCGTCACAGAAGAAATGGCGTGATTTGAAATAAAGAGTGAGAGCTATACTGGGAAACGCACTCAACCACACAGACAAAAGGCGCTACAGCTGCGAGATGGATGAATGTGTAGCTACTAATAGAACTAATTAGAATCAACGGAACAAATGCAAATTAACATGCAGGTGTTTAACGTCACCGTTGAATTTCACGACACAAGCTGTTTAACTGACTCACTGCCCAATCAGTCTTAAAGAGAATTTCTCTACTGGTCACTAATTTCCATGCAATCACAATGAAGTTTTCAAGCTACAAAAGAACACAAAAATGGTCCATACAAATTGTTCTGAAGCCATGTAATAGTTTTGTGTCAAAACAGACTAAAACTTAAGCTGTTTATGACTGAAAATCTTAACGTCTTCCCTAACAGGTTCATGAGAGTTCATGAGATTTGTGAATGAATCGTTCTTTTGAATCAGATTCATCTGGTTCTCCAATTAAACGCGCCTAATCTGGTCACAGTGAATAATGGTTTACTGAATGGGAACACAAACTCTATGTCGTCATAATCACATATACATCTTATATGGTGTTGTAAGTTTTGAAAGCTCCAGTCCCCACTTAATGTAATTGCATGGAAAAAAGCAACCATTACATTCTTCAAAGTATTTCCTTTTGTGTTTCAGGGAAGAAAGAAAGTCATATAGGTTTGGAGTGATAGAAGGGTAAGGATGTTTAATCAATTTATAACTAAACTAAAACAGGTTTCAGCATTCCAAGGTACCATATCATATCATATTCAACCATCTTAAAGGATTAGTTCACCCAACAATGAAAAGTCTGTCATTAAATACTCACCTTCATGTCATTCCAAACCCATAAGACCTTCGTTCATCTTCAGAACACAAATTAAGATATTTTTGATGAAATCCGAGAGCTTTCTGACCCTGCACAGACAGCAACGCAACTGACACATTCAAGGCCCAGAAAAGCAGTAAGGACATTGTTAAAATAGTCCATGTGACATCAGTGGTTTAACCGTAATGTTATGAAGCTACGAGAATACTTTTTGTGTGCAAAGAAAACAAAAATAACTTTATTCAACAATTTCTTCTCTTCTATGCCAGTCTCCGCCGCGCATTCACGAGAGTACCACTCTTGTGAACATGCGTGGAAGATTGACACAGAAGAGAAGAAATTGTTGAATAACATCGTTATTTTAGTTTTCCTTACACACAAAGTATTCTCGTATCTTTGTAAAAATTAAGGTTGAACCACTGATGTCACATGGACTATTTTAATGATGTCCTTACTACCTCTTTGGGCCTTCAACATGTCAGTTGCGTTGCTGTCTGTGCAGGGTCAGAAAGCTCGGATTTCATTAAAAATATCTTCATTTGTGTTCCGAAGATGAACAAAGGTCTTACGGGTTTGGAACGACATGAGGGCGAGAAGTTAATGACAGAATTTTCATTTTTTGGGGAACTATCCCTTTAAAGCTGTGTTATTTTAGTATGATTTAATATTATAAATACTATTATAGTATTTATCAATTCACTTTGAAACTTTCCTCAAACTTTATTTCTTTCAGACGATCAGGTTTTAGGTGGGATGTTACACGAAACTAAATTTGATTATGCCTTGACGAAATAAGTGTGCAGTAAGTACACAAGTGCATTACTGTACCTGTGTTCTGCAGCAGGGATGGAGAATCCAGCCATAGGACATGCATAGTATCGTTGTGCCATCAGCAGACCCGCCACTGTATCTGTGCTGCAGAAATTCACCAGATGAGCAGCTCCACCAAGTGCTGCCGACTAGATCAGTAAAGAGACACAATGAGTCAATTAACCTGTTTAATGTCAAACCCCTAGTCCCTAATGTCTTTATTGTACAATAATGTTCTTCAGTGGTGTCTCCAGTGAAACCCAAAAGATCAAATGTTGTGATTTCTCTCACACCATTTAAAGCATAAACGCTGATTCCCATTATGTTGATCCTGTTTTTGTAACTGTATTATAGACAGTGGCTTTTAAGAAGCAAATCATATGAGAGGTTGTGACTTTGACCTTTGAAATCAATTGTGTGCCCAATTTAAAGCCAATAAGACATTTTCTATATTCCCCTGATTAAACACTCAGGTTATTGACTTTGTCTCAGTTCATTCATCGCAGGGTCACAGTAATCAGGGGGGATTTGCCCTTTAGTGATAGTCAAGGGAAGGTTGTTGCTCTGAAAAGTGAACACGTTTGATTCCAAGCAAAATCTCTTTAGCCCCCTGAGGGGAGCATCAATATTTCTTGCTCTACTACAAGGTGTATATTTATGTGGGAATTTGAGGAGTCTATTTCTTTTTCTTTTTTAATTTAAGAACTGATGAGATCTGGGCTTGATATCAATCCAGGGAAATCAGATCTGCAACAAGGCTTTAGTCTGCCGCTGTGATTGTAACAAGGATCTAGGGACTTTGTCATGTAATTGTCAATGCAGTGGAGGGGCACAGCCCAGCACAACATGATGGATCAGCATAAACACCAATGTTATTTTAATATTATTTCTACACTATTGTAGAATTTATAAATATTTTGAATAAGCTTTTATTTTTGGATTTTCAGTTTTCATTTTAATTAAAATTTTTAGTAATTTTGTGCTTTTGTCATTTTTTAAAATTCTATTTAAACTTTAAAAAATAGCACACAACTTGTGTGGAGTACTTTTAAGGTACTTTTTCAATACATTCTGCTAAACTTCTCTTTATCCACTTAAGAACAAAAGTCATATGGGTTTAGAAGGATTTGAGGGTGAGTAAATGATGACAGAATTGAAATCTATCACTGCTTGTCCCCTGAACAGAAGAGAGTGGTGATGGAGAGTGAGCAGGAACCCTGAGTATCAGAGGCATTAAACTCTGCTTGGCATCATTAATCTCCTCTTGAAGCCATCATTAATCCAGTCAGCCGCAACCTAGAAAATACACTATCAATATCCCACTGTCCCTAATGAAGACTCGATAGTTTTACACAGCATGCTTCAGTCTGTTGTCAGCTGCTGAGGGAGAAGCGTTTGGGCTTTCTTAGATCCCACACTGATGTTCTTTCCCTTCCAATTCATTCAGTTTCTTCCTTAAAATCATTTTTGCACTTAATTTTCCGACAAAGTCCTGCATGAGAGTAACATGGAATATTGTCATGTCATATTTTATGTAATTGCCAGTGATCAAACAGGCTTAAACACACACAATAGCAATATTACACTGACAGTTGGCAGAGAAATATGCCATAAAGCCAGATATAACGTGGACCTTGATTAGGACGCCCAGATGGCTTTTTTTTTTCATTGGACAGTCATGTTACCCAACAAGTGAAATTCTATAGGACATAACTGATTGTTACTGGTGTGGTTCGACATAAATGTCAAGTTTTAGTTGGAAGAGAATAAAATTAAATGAAACCACAAATAAAATAAAATAATGAAGTAAAATATTAGTACAGTGGTATTATTATTATTATTATATTTCCTATGGGGTTACAAAAGTTGCAAGTTCAAATCTCTGCTAAATGTCTGCTAGTTTAAATTTTTTTTAATTAAAACAAAGAAAATAAAATAAGATATTAAAACCATAAAAACAAATCATAAAAATTATGAACCAAATCAAAAAAAGAAAAAAAAATTAAACCTTCTTAGATTAAAATGTAATTAAATCGTTAAAAAAACAATAAAACTTTTGAATTAGGGTTGGGCCGATAGACTATGCCATCGTCCATCGCCGATGGCTGACAGACATCACGATGTTAAGCTGATTTTTTCAATGTTAATGGTAAATGCACCTTTTCTGTTTGGTCAGGCTGCTGGATTGATCTATGAAGGCTGCGTCACCATGTCCAGTTTTAGATCATGGCGTACTAGTCTCAAAAGGGCACCACAGAGGGGTTATGTCATACCTCATCAGAATCCAGTGGTCTCACTTTCGCACACAAAGGTCTCCTACGCTCAGCACGCCCAGCCAGTCAGTAACAGACTCACTGCTTATCACTAGCCACCCAAAACCTGAACCCGTCACTGTGTGATATAGATGAAACCTGACAGAGTTGACCTTTACACAGCAGACGGACCGATTCAAGAGCCAAACAGTCATCTTTACTCACACAACTCTTCAAACAGCACCACCCGATGACCCAAAACCCATCAGTGTGACAACCTCACTCAAACACGGCCAACAATCAGGGCTCTCCTACCTTTGAAAAATACAGAAATCGAGAGCGCACTGTAGGGTTGGGCGATGTCTACCAAATTGGCATCGGACGATGTCTACAGTGAAACTTCGTGATGGACGATGACATTAGGGGGTGTGCCCGAAGCGTGAATCCGTATGCAGAAAGGCACGGAAAACAAATAACGCGTTCTGTGGAGCCACTAAAGGGACATGGTTAGCCACTTGCTAGCGGTAGACTGTTACATTATAGTACATGAAAGTTCACTTACCACATACACAGAGTAAGGAGAGATGACTGATAGGACAATGGCGAATGATTTGCAGATACTGAGCACCACAGACAAATATCTAATCTAGTAAAATGTGTGGTAGCGGCAGTACCAACCATTGAACTCCATAGTATAGAGTCCGTGTGTTCGCGAATCTCGAAAAGTGAAAGTGAAAGTAAAATGAGAGCGCGCATTCGAAAGCGTTTTCAATGCCCTGCATATTAATAGCGGCTCCCTGATGCCCGCAGTTTATATACAGTATAATTACCCAACGATATAATTGCGAGAGAAAGTATTGAAATATTTGTTTTTTATCATCCCATCTCGTAAGCTATTAGGGGTTCTGTAGTACACTTAATTTCCTTTCCGAACACGAAATTGGGATGCGGCGGA